ACTAGATCTTCTGTCTTCAGGCCATGTGACTAATAGACTTAGTCCCTCCCTTTGTAACTTCTCCATCTCACACTCACTCTCAGATTGTTCATTTTTCTCTCTTTTATCTCTGTTGTTAACTCTTTCTACTCAGAAATTTAGATTTCAATCTAAAAAAAACTATCTGCTGGCTGTTTCATATAGGGACCTTAGATATGCTTAACCTGCCACTGTAAAGTGTACTCCTGTTATTTTTGGTCTGGACAGTTTGCTTTTCATGACTTGAGTGACATCATCTGTGTGTGTTTGTGTGTGAACATTGAGAAATATATACTTTTTATTTTTGCCATTCTTACAATGGCAAAAATAAAAAGACTACAAAAATAGTAACTGTGAAAATCAAAGTGTATATGGTACCTGCCTTTGGTTTGATGTGTGTATTCATGTGCAACTTATATTGACCTACATCTGATTGTTAGGATTATATATTTTTAATTTCATGCATGTGCATTGTTTACTTTTGATTTTGTCAGCTGCACAATATATTAGGGATCATTTGGGCATTGTCTGAAAAAAAGAGCACCATGATTTTGCATTCATCTTCAGAAGTTCCAATATGAACCTTTCAGAGAGTTTGGGGTGTCAATCTGATGACAGTGCAAAGGATTCAGAAAGAGTTGGATGAGTCTAATGGTTATTACGAAGGTATGGCAGCTCAGAAAACTCACTCTGATCATTCTGATAAGAACTCACAAATTTGTTGGTGAGATCCAGGCCATGATTGAAAATGATCCCTCCAAGTCAATCAGGTCCATCGCCAGGAAGTTAGTGCTCCCTGATTCAAAAGGGTGGCTACTGGAAGACCTGCTATACATAGCAGCAGGACTCTGCACCATGCCACACAAACAGGAGAATGCAGTCATGGCTGTTTAGACAATTTCTGCAACCACATCACCCCTTACATCTGGCCACCTAACTCTCCAGACTGCAACCCTCTTGATTATTGTTGGGTGCAGTTAGGCAAGAGACCAACAAAACTACTTGTAGCACCAAAGATGAACTGAAGACAAGAATTATGGCAGCATTCATCAACTTAAACAAAGAGACCATCTAGAAGAATTGCAGGAGATTCCAAAGTCATCTGGAGGCCGTGGTTGAAGCCAATGGTGATTTTATTGAATAAATTTACTCTTCAATATGTCAAGATATTTTTGTGTAATTTTGGTAAATATAATTGTTAAAATGAGATGTCAGTGTTATTTCTGTTTTTGTGTAATTTAGATGACAATTTATCCATCGCACCCTGTATATATATATATAAGTAAAACTGACCTACCTGTGAATAATATTGGAGTCAAATGATACATCAAAAATTAACAATCTGCATTGGAAAGTTCCTGGACTAGGTTAATTTTTTAACTGATTCCTAACTTTGTATTAGAGAGAGCTGATGAATTGTTCCATGAGAATCTTTAGGGTTGAGTTCACAATTCTTTTTGTATTTCCTGGTCATTTGCTGGTGATTGGTTGACCTAAAGTCTCTTTATTTTGAATATACACCAAACTGATCTTAAAATTCTCAATCTATTCTAAAATTTGTGTTTTATCTAAAGAATGTTTATTAGACAATTGAGAAAAAAAATTTTGAGGGTCTCAGCAGCAGCTGTACACAGAATTTGGTGCAAGAATATTGCTTGCATTTGTCAGCCGTTGTAAAGATCACAAAGCCATTCCACTGCAACCTCATGTAATAATTGAACACAATTGCACAAAGTTGATTGGTAGATTGTCTTAGTAGGTTGGGTACCAATAAGAGTTAGCTGTATACACATTTCATCTGAATAATACTGTCACAGCACATACAGTTTGGGAATTTTCCAATACCACTTTATTTTTCTGGTATTAGTTATTTTTTTTGTAAATAGACAAGAATTTGGAGAGTCTGTCTTTATATATATGCATGAAAAATACATGCACCTAAATAATAATTGCATTTTCCCCATGAATATCCAAGGATATAACTTAATCTCTGGATAATTCAAACTTTATCCACAATGTAGATTATATGTGATTATTTGTGTACACAAATGTAAGTATACATAGACATACAAATGAAATATGAACTTTGCCCAACTCTATCTCTATATATTTACAATCTTATTAGTATAACAATATATCCAGTTTTGTGTTTCTTTGTCTGAAGCTAAGGTCATGTGCTTTGCCACTTCTGAAATACAAAACTATATAATGTGAGAATTTGTTTGATATAACCATCTTTAGGTATTTTATAGCTTTCTCTTTTCATATTCTCTCACCTTTATTCTTTCTTACCAATTCTCTTATGTTAGTTTTTCTTTGTTGTCTTCTATTTATTTGTATTTTTTCTATTAGTGAATTCCATTTTTTCTTCAAGTCTCTTTTTAATCACCCTATTTATTTTCTCCCTTTTCTTCCTGTTTTCTTTTTCTTCTCATTTTCTCTTGCACTTTGTTCATTTGTAAATTTGGTCTGATTGATCACTAAAGGCAGTTAAAGGACAGTCTTGTTAAGCGCTTGCATAATCATTGCACAAATCTAATGAAAACAAATTTAATTCCAATACTAAACAATAAAAATAAACAAAGCAATAGCAAAAGGACAATATATATATTTAAAAAACAAAGAATCTGAGATAAAAATAAAAGGTCAGTCAAAGACAAAGGAAAGATTGATGCAATTATTTTTTCTTTTAAATACTTCCATCAGATTGGCCATTTCTTTCATTGTGGAAAAACAACTTTTCCACTCATCTCATTCAACATATTTCTCTCTCTTTCATCTTTTTGCTGATATGGATGATGTCTCTTCACCTTCCCCCTATTCTTTTTAGTGACATTACTTATTAAGCATTTTCATAGAGTCTACCATATTTCACTGGCAGCCATTTCTTTTGAAAACCCTGGTCTTTGTGCCAACTGTAGGCCAATGCATCGGAGGTGGGTAGCTGAGCTCGGAGAGAGCAAATACAACCGAGACTGTTGCCAACATCACTCAATCGTAATAAAATTAGCCACAAGTTCAATAGAATCTTTGTTTAATGTTCTCTCACCCTATTTCTACTCTCTACCACTCTGATTAAAACTTTTTTTTTTTCTTCTCTTTTGTTATCATCCTATTAACTCTACAAAAAAGGTTTCTTTTCACCTTTTCTATTCCTTGACTTTTTTGTATGGGGTTAAGAAGAGCTTCAGTGTAAATATTAAATCATTCATTTACTTTTCAGACTTAAGACGATGGCCAGGAAATCTCTCCAGATTTACTTCTTTTGTAACTCATTCTGAAATTTTTGTTTATAATAGGGGAATATGGTTTGTATAGACTAAATTCATGATGGATGCACTGAAAGTAATGCCTCTGATTTATTCCACAGAAAATATAAGGAATATGACAACACTGTTGGATAGAAGAAGTTTTTAGCTCAAGGAAACTATTTTTCCACATGGTCACCACCATTAGCTGTGTATTTTCAAGGTGCTCTTCATCTTGTGGCTTAACAGTTGTGCAGAGCCACCTGGAACATCAGTTGTTACTGATATTGTTGTTGCTACTGTTGAATTGCATTACCTATTGCCCATCTTCACATCCATTGTTTGATATCTGTGAGCATTTCATAAGCTTCAACAAATGTCACTGGGTGCAATTTTTATGCATGTAAGAATTTATTGGTACATCTCTGCTTTGTACACACTTTCATGTTAGAAACCATTTTATCCATGCTGCTACTCATTGATATGAAACAAGTCAAAAAATAATTATGGGTTATTAGTGGGAAGGTTCAACATTTACTACCATATTACCAACATCTACCTTTGATGTCATGAGCTGGCAATAGCATAGGATGCATTACTTTCAGAGACTTATCAGGTATACTCATATATGAAGTTTTGTATTTTTATTTCTTTTATTTCCGTTACAATTAGATTCACTCATAAATTAAGTGAGCATAAAACAGAACAAGTGCAATATTCAATTTTTGCAAAGCACCTGTTTTATTATTTAAATGGATGTTCTCTTGATAAATGTATGGAGCCTTTGTTACTCAATTTCAAAAGTGATTCCTTCCAAAGATTTTTCTTATAACTGAAAAGAAAAGATACCATGGCTCACATATAAGTTGCATAAAAAGGGACTGAAATTCAAACCTATCACACATGAATTGATGCTTATATTTTTGTATAGTACAGAGATGCTGTTATAAATTAGAGAAAAATCTTTATTTTGAAGGTTATATAACTTAAATGAGGAGAAACTACAAAATATGAAGACACTTCCATAATCTTCCATTAATAATAATTGTTTATATAATTTTGCATATTGTTAACCATGTTACTGAAAATTTCAATTTTTTGATTATATCATGCTAGCTTGTGAAAATATAAATACACACACACACTGCTCTCTCTCTCTCTCTCATATATATATATATATATATATATCATTGTGTGAGTGTGTATGAGGTTACTTGACTCTTGTTTAATGCCTGAATGGAAATATTGAAGAATATGACAGAAAAATTTGCTTCTCACAAATAATTTTTTTTTTCTAAAAAGCAAAGATCAGATGTTATTTTCAACTAGACAGTGCTCCTGCACTCACTGCAATGACCATCCATAAAATTCCTCCAGAAGACATTTAAAGAAATTATAGGAAAAATCTCTACCGTAGTAATTTACTTTATTTGTTTGTTTAATTCTTACTTATTTCTTAACTAATGAATGATTTGTTGTTAAAAGCTTGACATAACTACAATCAAGTTTGATTAAAAAGAACTGACTGTTTAATTTTCTATTGTATTTTGGATAAGGTGTTGAGTATTGCACTCAAAGTTGTGGATAAACTGCCCAAAGTTCATATTTTGGTATTTTTGTGCTTGTTATTTTTGTTCATGTATTTTTGACTTTCACAGTCATTATCAGAATCCAATGTGGTGTCTGTATGGTAGTTAGAATTGCTTTTGTCTACATCTAAGCATTCTTTGGAAGCTGGACATTTGAAATAGTCTAGTGTAACATTTTATGTATAAAAGTTTTAAGGAACATAGCTGCACGAAAAAAATTCAATTTATTTTATTTCATTTTATATTCATTTTTTTTTTTTTTGTAATACTGATAAAATATGTGTGCATATTAATTATATTATATGCCCTTCAAGATACATTCACCACAGGTGAATGATATTTTATTCAATGTGGACTGTTTATTTTGTATAATAATCACTTCTAGGGTTTTGAGTCTTTCCTAGCATTGGGTGGTGTAGAATACTGTAGAATGATGTCCTATGTTGATAGTTGTACTTTGGTCATTCATTATATATATATATATATATATATATATATATATCCATATGGATAAGAAGCAATAAAACCATTAATATCGACTGGCTTTGAAATTTATCCCAGTTCAAAATTCTACAATTTTCAGAAATACTTAATTGTGCTCCCACATGTCAACTAAATAAAAAAAAATATTTTTGTCATCCAATATATATATATATATAAACTGCTACACAGATGTCTTTGTTGTAGCTGATTGCTGATTAGACCAATATGGTGGTGTAAATTCTGCCACAGCGGTTGTAAGAGAAATTCTGATAGTTGGATGTAACTCTAGTTTTACAGCACTGCTTTTTTTTCTGTAGTTTGCTTCAAAATGGGAAGTTGCTTGATAGTCTTTATCATGATATCTCTCAGTCATCAAATGATGAGACCTTTCTATGGAATCGATTCCACTCTTTTTTGTCATTGTCCAATGGACAGTCCATCTAATATAGATACACAGATATATAAAACAAGATTTTACTTGTACAATCTTATATTCTGGTGCTCTTTGGTGAAATCTCTATTGCAGGAATTAGAAGCTTGGTTTGATGTGCTCAGGATGTTAATAAAAAAAAAAACAAACCTCTAACTACTAGAATGTTTGAAAGTGAGAAGGATGGCAAAGACAGTATCAACTGGCTCCAGGAAGACCCAAAGTTTGCAATTGTCATCTTGATTGTGATTGGTTTATAAATGCATCTCTGAATCACATGGTGCTACTTTCTATTATATCCATATTAGGAAGATATCCCTGTCCTATTTTGCAGCCTGGATTGTGTCAACTGGACTGTTAGACTTCTTAAGAAAGTGTAAACATTCCAGAATCACATCATGTGATTGATGATCAACAATCACTTAACAAATTGCATCAGGATACAAACCCTTCTGGACACAAATGGTCTGACTTCAATGATCCCTTTTAAGTAAGACCCTTAATTTTTTGATCACATCAAAACAAAAAATAATTATCAGAAATAAGAGATGATTGCTAGAAAAAGAAACAAGGAAGTCCAGTGGAGAATGTGACATGACAACATAATCAAATAAACACAACTTAATCTTAGATCCTTAAACCAAGTTACCTGGGACCATGAACTTTGGTGTGAGTTGAGTTCTGCTATAGGTCTAACACTTTCGCCCCAGCCCCTCAACCTCCAACATCTTAATCTCTGGGTTAAGGTGTCTACTCAGTCCTAACTGAACTTAAGGGAGTGGCCATAAGTCCCCTGAGCATCCATAGATTATTTGACCAGTCCACTGGTTTAATCCTGCTTCCTGCCCACATTGTGTTTGGTTTGATCCAGAAAGCAGAAGTGATGTTCATCCATTCACGGTCAATTGAAGATGTAGACACGGCTGGAGAGTCTGCACTAAGAAATTTAGAATGCAACAAAAAAAATTAATATATGTGCAGAAAGCTGGACAAAGAACTATTGAATGATTGAATTGTTAATGTCTTTTATATAGCAGAAAAGAATAGTATAGAAAAGAAACGGGTTACAGAAAAGAAAAGTAATTGACGTAAAAACGCATACACTGGATTCTAGACAGAGAGATAGTGTGTTATGATTAACTTGTTGTTAAATCATCCCAGAACAATATACGACTCTTGCGATGGGGGAATAAGATTTCTGTGCATGGCTTAAAGTTAAAAGTGGCGTTCCTCCTTAGCAGTAGTAATAGTAGTAGTAATATTCATGGTAGCAGAAGCAGCGGTACTTATATCAACAGTACATGTTAGCGGACGCTTCGTTCAAATCTCTGACATCGCTTTCTCTCCTTCTTGAGTCTCCAACTCAACTCTCCACTGTCTCTAGCCCAACTCTTGCCCGGACTAATTCTCTTCAGTCTCTCTCTTCCATCTGCCTCTTCCGTCTCAACGTGCACCTGTCTTCCTCTTCTGTCTGTGTTTTTCAGCATAACTACACATTTATATAGATAAACCAGGCTGATTACAACTGACCCTTGACCCTACTGCTTCGCACATGATTATCACGGGGTTCTGGCTGCTTCAAACATAATCATGTGAATTCCAAAGTTCCTTCCAGCTTACTCAGCTCTATTTCAATTTTTAATCGACAAAAATTATTTCGACCATTTCCATTGTCTTCTGATGACCCAGATTCAATGGGT